GGCAATATTATCGTTTATCGCAATAAATTTTGAGACAATTAATCGCCCAGCAAAATTTGTTATCGTGACAGGCCTAGGTTTGATTTCTTTGTATGTATGGATCACTTGGGTTGTTACCGACATCTGGTGAAAATTTCATGTCATTAGCACCTCTAGTAATATATTTACTGAGAAAAATGGTGACGTGTTCAATACTTATTTTACCCGCTGTAACTATGGGTCACAACCAGTGAACAATGAATGTTTGACTCCAACATGCAGCCTCTGAGTGAAGACCACCAAAGCCTCCACAGCCCCCACAGTTTTACTACAATCAAACTCTTCATTAACATTTAAAACGATTGACTTAAAGCTATAAAGCAGGAACACGGTTCATGAAGCTACACTCACCAGATGGTGACGCAGATTTCGTCGTCGKCGGCGCAGATGGCTGTTCTGTTGCACTCCACCTCGCAGGTCCCTTTACCTGCGCAGGTGGTCGTCTGCACGTCACAAAACCTGCACAGCCTTTTCATCTTCAAATTTGGTCCTGAAGTCAAGGATAAAAAAATAAAGAAAGTTAGAAGAGTCGACTCAAGAACATAAAGCAGGAACAAAGTGGCTTTCTTCCAAACTACTTKATAGTTTAAGCAACTTAAATACAGAGTTGTAAAGTCACTAAGTACAAATACTTTGTTACTGTGCTTAAATAGAATTTTTGGGTATCTGTACTTTACTTGAATAATTATTTTTCTGCCTACTTTTTACCTCTACTTACATTTTCACACATTTATATGTACTTTCTACTCATATTTTTTAAAAGGCAATAAGTAAAGGTTGTTACTTTTATTTCATTTTTGCTTGTTTTTATCCCAGCTTGTTATTGCAAAAAATAAAAACTATCCAAATAAACTGTGTCTCCTAGATAGAGTGAATTTAACTGTGGTTGAATGAGAAGTATAAATATATAAAACTCTGATAGTGTATTAGTTTTTACACAAACAAATCATGTCACACTCCAGCAGGACATAATCATTAAAATAAAAGGACTGTACTTAAGAAGTATTTGTATTTCATGAATTATATTAATGTATTTGACCGCAGCCTTTGGATAGATTTTCATTTTGAGGAAAAGTTTTGTGCAGCCTTGATATCTGTATATAAACTGAAACAGCTGGACTAGTGCATCCTAAATTTAACATAAATTAATTATTTTAATACAGCATACTCATGTCTGCATTTTTTTGAGGTCAACTCCTGATAAATGTAATCACAGAAAACCTAACTGCTCATTTTAAATCAATACTTTTACTTTTAATAAGTACAAAAATATCAGATACTTTAAGACTTTTACTCAAGTAATATTCCTAAAGGAGACTTTAACTTTTACCAAAGTAAATTTTTGGTAAGATACTTGTACTTTTACTCAAGTATCACTTTGGAGTACTTTACACCAGTGGTTCCCAAACTTTTCATCTTCTGACCCACAAAATATCCATGGCAAAAACTTGTGACCCCAAATATTACTGGTCTGAGTACACGACCATTGTTAATAACCCTAAAAACACAGGCTTTTTGACAATCTAAACAGCTTTTACACAAATATAAATACTTATTTATACTTTGTTGTGTTTTTGTAATAGTTAGGGGGGAAAATATTACATCAGTAATTATTTTATTACCCTTTAAATTGATTTCTGGAGATTATCCAAGGTGCTTCATGACCCAT